CTCAGCCCCGCGGGGGCGTTTTTGTGCATCCTCGACGGCCAACTGCGCGTGATCCCGCGGGTGAATTTCCTCCGCGCCGACGACGTCGAGGTCCGGGATCTGCACCTCCGCCAGGGCGATGTCGAGGTGCCGGTGGTGGATGCCTTTTTTAGCGAGGCCGTCGAGGCCCATCTTTACTTCGCCACCGCCGACGCGATTGGGTTGTACGATTGGCAGGCGAACTTGTTGGTCGAGGAGCGGCTTTGCACGCCGGCGGATGGCGTGAGTTTTCTGCGAATTTACCCTTCCTCCTCGCCATCCGCGGGGGGGCCGGTGTGTTTTTCCTTCGGGGGGGATCAGCGACTCGTCGCGTGGTGCCCTTCGCGCACCGGGCGGCCCATCGCCGTCTCGGAGGACCTCTCCCGCACGCGAATGTTCTCCCGAACGATCACAAACGTCATCCAATCCGACCTCACACGGACCCACTTCGCGGTGCTTTTCGAGGATGGGAGTCTGGCGAACTGGGGATTCCACCCTCGCACTCGTCGATGGCGGTTGATGAAGTTTTATCTGAATCCCCTTCATCGCGCGGTGTGTGTGGGGGGGGGAGGGGGGCCCACGGCGAGCCTTTGCGTGGGGCTGGAGAACGGCCAAATCGTGGTTTGGGATGTCCGCCATAACGTCCCTTTACGGCGGTTTAACCTCGCCACCTTCAGCAATACCAAAATGGTGCGGGTTTGCGGGCCGGTGAGCGAGGGCACCGTGTGGGTGGTCTCCAGCCGCGTTGTCGAGGATCGCTATCGAATTCAGATTTCCTTGTTGGATACGCGGAGCGGCGAGGTGGCTTGGACGCTGCGCGCGCCCTCGCGCACGGCGGAGCTCACGCAGGTGAAAAATATCAGCATGGACGCCTCCCGCTCGTATTTGTTGGTGGTTTTCTGGAATTGCACCTTCGAGGTGTGGAATACGGAGACGCGGCGGCTGATTCGGGCCCACGCGGAGTTTGGCGTGGGGGATGTTTCCTGGGCCCCGGCGCGCATGCGGGGCTGCCTGGACGATCTTCAAGGGGCTCCTCAACTTCTTTTGGTGATTTTTGTCGAGGGCACGCTCTCGCTTTGGTCGGTCTACCACGATCGCGTCGTCGACGACGGCCCTGCCAACGCCGTCTTCAACCTCCCACCGGCCGGCATCAACCGCACCGTGCAGTCCCTCGCGGTCGGTTCTCGGATGCTCCTGTTCAACAGCAAAGGCAGCGGCTTTGTCTTGTACTCCAACGGGGGGACGTTGGCTAAATTTTCACTGAAGGACGTCCCGCCTAATCTCGGCCCGGTACGCGGTCTATCCGCGGCCTCTTTGGATGTGGATCCTATGAATCCTTCGGTTCTTACGCCGAATAAATCGTCAAAAGAGGACCAAGACGAGGGGAAGGAGGAGGAGGAACCCTTTCTTAGCCTCGCGGCGGTGGTTTTTGACGATCATTCGTTTGGCGTGTGGGATACGGCGACCGGGGAGCGCGTTGGCTACTCCGTTAATTTGTCATCGGGCGTGTTGATATCGGCGATTTCGATTTGTTGGATCGGCAGGGAGAACATCGCGGTTTTGGGTGTCGACGGCGCGATTTATATCCTGCACTACACTCTCCGTACGGTAAACAGCAAATTCAGTTCACGGGCCTTACGTCGGCCCCTGGAGAATATGGCCTTTCTTCCATCATCTCACAGGATTTATTTGCAGTCTTCTATCGAACTCGCCAGTATGGTGGATCTTTCCAACTCCCTTTCAACTCTACGCACCACAGCCGAAAAGTGGGAATTATTTTCCTCCGCCGCTTTATCTTCACCACTTCTGAGGGCCCATGCCGAGGATAAAACTCAACCCCTGGCGAGTTCCATGATATTGAATATTCCACCTGAATATCGACCCTATCGAGGACCTTTCGGGCAAATCATCGGCCCCGCGATTTCCTCCCTCGACGAGGAGCTTCGCCTTTATCAGCAAACAATGGTCCCTTCTTATTTGCAAAGGAATATTCTCCACGCGTATGGCAAGCGGCGGTGGGTGGACTTTTTTTACTGGAGTGCAAGGCTGTTCGGGCAGGTCGAAAAGCAGCGGTTTTGGCTTCAGGCGAGGCTTTTGGCGACCCCGGTTAAAGGCCGCGGGCCCATTCGCCGCCGGGCTGCCTCGGGCCCCCCATCCCCCCTTTCCCCGGATGCCGAAGTGGGCTTTTTGAAGGAAACGACATCCTTATATCGGCCTTATTTCTTAGCCGATGACCTCACGCCCTACTTGAGTGATAGTAGGGTGCTGCGGTGGAATCATCTTGCGCGGGTGGAGGCCCGGCGGAGGGCCTTCGAGGGCCGGAAAGGCGGCGCGGAGGACGTTTCGGGGGTTCTCTCCCTCGCGCAGGAGTTTCTGGCGCTTCATCAACCCGCGAAGGCGGTCGATGTGCTTCTGAACGGCCACCGCGAGGGCGCGAACTTCAACGAGCTCTCCACCCTCGCCCTGAGCATCGCCGCGGTGAGTCCGGCGGGCGGGATGGGGGAATCGGGGGCGCGCGCGCCGTGGCCGAGCCCCCAAACCACTCAAAAATCCGACCCCACGACGAGTTTTTTCTACATTTCGGTGAAGCGCGCCGCCGCGATTCACCTCGCGCGCGGGGAAGTCGAGGCGGCGGTGGAAAAATACCTCCTCGCCGGGGACCCCCGCGAGGCCTCTCGGGTTCTTCAATTTCAAGGCCGCTGGCATGAGGCCGCGGCGCTAATTAAACAATTCACCAGCGACGACGACGACGATTTTCACCCCGATGACAAGGCGGAGGCGGTGCGGGATATTTTAGGCCGTTGGGGCCTGCAATGTTTGAACGTCGGGGAGCGGATGGAGGCGGCGCGGATTTTTCTCCATATTCGTGACCCCAAACGCGCCCTCGAAGCGCTTTCGGGGTCGGCGAATTATCTAGATATCGCAGGCGCGCTCGCGATGGCGTTATGGCTGGAATACGGCTTTTCGGAAACGATGGAGGCGACGCCACAGTCCGACAAAATGGCCCCAAAAGATGCAGAAAATACCGAGGGATGGAGTTTTTTTGGATTGGATGGCGCGATTGTGGAGGCGATGATTATGGCTCTTGCGGATTACAGCAGCCTTTTGAGCTCCGTAGGCAACGTATCGGGGGAAGGTTTGATACTGAAAAAGCTTGCTTTTCTTAAAATGTCTAAGAAAGGCTCACCAAACGAAATGTCTTAGGTATACTGAACCAGGGTTATGGTTGGAAAAATAGCTTATACATAGTAATATACATCGAAAAGCACTGCGAAAGATACAATGACTTATGAAATTAAACCCTATACTGATTTTTTAATGTCTTATATGTTGTCTAAATGGTACCTTTTTTCATTATATATTTATTCATAAACATGAAGTACTACAGAAACAAGTGACAGAAGGGAAACACCAGAAAAAGGACTTTGTGATATTATTATTTATGCACAATACGTATCCATACCTAGATGCGAAGTCATCGGTCCGCGAAATTTGCGGAATATATCTCCACATTTGCTATTTTAAATTCCATTGGAATTCACGAAACGGTGTTAATTGAAAGACGGGATTCTTCTACTGGGATCGGGGTTTACGTGCGGGACGCGTGCGATGCTCACACGACGCTCTTTGTCGTTCCCGGCCATCGCGTCTGCTCCAGCTCCGTTCTTTCCCATCTCGGAACGAAAATTACGCTGCGATCGAACGGCGATTGGGATGGGGAAAGACTTCAAACGTTAAATCATGGACTGATTAATTATTTAACGGGATTGGAAGAGGCCAAGGTGTGGATGGAGTGCGCCTGGCGAATCGCATTGGAGCGGCATCGCAGCTATTCCTCGTGGTGGGGTTGGATTCAGAGCGCGCCCGACGAGAAAGAATTAATGAGCCTGGAGGAGGGAATTTGTGGGAATTGCCGTGTCCTGCACCCTACGCTCTACCCTTTTTATCTAAAAGGACGTGCAAAAATAAAGGAAGAGATCAAACTCGCCTTTGAATTACTTTCTCATAACAATCTACGGCCTTCTTTTTCTTATTTCTCATGGGCGGTAGAGATTCTTCTCTCGCGTGGGATTTTGCTGCCGTGTTGTTGGCAAACAAAGGAGGGTTTAGAGAAGGCTGGGGAGGTGGAGTTTGGGGTGGTGCCATTTGTGGATTTAATTAACGGCGCGAATGATCAGGCTGCGACTAATGATAGCTTTACACCCAAGGAAAATGCCGTTGTCGAAGTTGAATTATCGACAGAGAGTTTACCTGAATGGTATGTCTCCTGGGTAGTCCAGGAAGCGCGGCGTAAAACTCATGATGAATCACTTAATGTGGGGGAACTTTTACGGGAGCATTTTTGCCTTTGCGTGAGCTTAACAAAGCCCCTGAAAGCCTCGGAAGAAGTTATTATTTCATATAACACACCACATATTTCTACTGGTGTGCTTTCCAGTAATGAGGATGCGCTGTTATCACGTCTGATAAAGTATAGTTTTTAGTGTGCATTATTTTTTTTTAATCCTTTAGTCCCTTTTTCCTTTACTTCTCCCCGTTGGATACGATTCATACATAAGAACAAGAATGATGGTGTCATATTTATTAAACAAATATATTTAGATTCATGCTATGTTTATGATGCAAACAAAAGTAATACTTTTTCTTTACATGTAATTTTATTTAATTGTTTTACCCACATATCGTAAGGTTTGATCGCCATTCTAATCCAAGGACATAGCCAGCGGCTCCAATTAGCTCCTATACAAACCATACTTACATTTTATCGATATATCAAAAGCATAATTAAACCCTAGGAGGAATCCGAAAAGACCCCCTCCCCCCCCAAAAAAAAACAAAACTATAAAAATTATGTCCGTGGCTTATCATCATCTGAAGATGCGTTTTACGCGCAGGACGGTGGACTACGTTCGTTATTTCTGTGATGGCTGCAATTATGTCTTCTCCATCTTTACCTCGCCCTTTCACCGCATCGGCCAGCGAATCTCCGCGGAGGCGCCGTGGGTGGTGGTGATTATCGCCTCCACCTTAATAACGGTCGTCCCCATCGTGGGCTATCCTTATTTGAAGCCCGTTCTCGGGCAAAACCCTCGTTTTGAGCTCGAAGAGGAGCGCGTGCGGTTATGCCTGCAAAAAGGTATCGATCCTTATCCTTATATGCGGCATAAAGACCTTGTGTACGGCAATCAGGTGACGTTGTTTAGCTCGGAGTCGGAGAACCCCAAAGAGGCCGCCTGGGAGTACCTTTCGCTGAAGGAATTTTACCGTCGAAAAGAGGCGCTTCGGCAGCAGGTCGATGGGGATCTCGACGATACCGTGCAGAAGTTGTTGGACCTTCGCAAACGGCAGCTTCGGCAGTTCGACTCTCAACGGAGAGAGATTAATAGGGATCCAGAGGAATATATCTTTACAGAGCGGCCGGATACCGATAAACTCATCACATAATTCCATTCTCACACTTTTTTCCCATGTTGTGGTTGCTATTTGTTCAAATGCTTATTGATAGAACTATATTTTTTCACGAGTGATTCTGTTTATTATTATTTTTTTTCACAATTCTGTCGAGAATCGGTGATATTTTCCTCTCCACGACCTCAAACTGACGCCTCTCTCAAAGGCCATGCCACTTCTCCTGCGTTCTGTTCTTGATGGACATTTTCCTCCTCTACACCCCTCTTGACGCCTTTCTTTCCAGGCGCTACTTCGGTAACAGTTTTGTGCTTCGCTCTCGGGTTCACGGGGGTTCGCCGGGGCTTCGTTGGACTGGGCTGTCCTGGGACTTTCGGCGATCTTTTCCCCCCTCGTCTGCAGGACTTGGGCCGCTCGCGGCGGCTGTAACACGCACGCCTCATTCTTGGGCTGTTCTCTTATATCCGTAGTTCCCCTCACCTTGTCTTTGTTAGGTGATTCATCATTTTTCTTCTTCTTCTTTTTACTATTAGTATTGAGTTATTGACTTGTATTTTTTTTTTTTTAGATTCTCCCGAATGTTTCGTCGGGTTTTTTTTGACCTCGCCCCGGGCGCGAGCGCCTCCGCGGCGAAGCTGCCGGCCGGGCGCCCCATCCACAAGGGGTGGTTCCGCAATAATCTTATCATCCGCCGGAAGGGCTCGTACCGCTCGCGCTGGGGGACGGGCGCGGAGGGCTACGGCTCCGGCGTCCCTTTCAGTGACCAGGTCAAACTTCATTGCGTGGACAATACGTCCTGCAAACACGTCCGGCTTATTTCGAAGGCTACGGCGGAGCGATTCGCGCACTGCCGCGTCTTTCCCGCCGTGGCTCATCGCGTTGCGTTGAATCGGTTTAAATCCGGCGAGTCCAACCGGAACCGAGTGCGGCCCGGGAATATCTACTGGGTTTGCCTTTTCACGCGGCGCCAGACAAATACGCGGATGAGCGGCCTGCAGACAAACTTCGACCGGAATACCTGCATCTTGATGAACGATCAGCGAGTGCCTCTGGGCTCGCGTGTGATGTACGCCGCGGGGAGGCATGTGAATCATAAATTCCACCTCAAGGCAATGGTGTTGGCAAACTTTTTCCTGTGAAATATATATATATATACTCACACAAGGAGGTGTGTATTCTGGGAAAGATAATGCTTGCTTTTTTCCCCTTTTTTATTATTTTGAAGAAGTAAGGAGACTTCACTTTGTTGTTTTTCTTATTTTTTCATTCATAAGGTTTTAGCTGATCACCAAAAAGAGCGTAGCACCGTTGCTGATATTGGTTTTGATGGAAAGACTTGCCTACTTTTCATGTCTTCTGCCGCTTGGTATTGATTTTTATCTGTGTAAACAGCTTTTCAGAAATAAGTAACCCTTCTTGTTTTAGATTTATTTCATTCCTTCTTAGGAACAGCAAAAAAAGGAAAGATAATAAATTTAAGGTATCATTCGTTTGTTCAAATATATTAACATTATTTTTATTGATTCATCATTATCATTTTACAATGTCAAATAGGGTCGAGGAGATATATTCTTCACAGGATGATGTGGTCGATAAAGCCTCCCTGAATCGTAATGGTCAGGGAGAGGGAGATTCGAAGACCTCTCCCAATCCATCCGAAGAGAGCAAGAAAACAGACGAAAAACAACATTCTATTGAAGTTGATGAGATAGAATGCGAACACATCAAAGAGATAGGTAATGATTTATTTAAACAAGGGAAAATTTCAGAGGCCTTGGCAGAGTATCGTAAGGCGCTTCTCAAAGCACCTATTAAAAAAATTCCCACGCCCTCCACCCAAGACCCCTTCCGGCACGATAAAGCGGCCAAATTCCCGAACGAAGACAACTTCGCTAACTGTGAAGCTAAGGTTGAGAATGAAGCTTCTGGATCCAAAACTTTGGATCCAAACGATTCCTCAACAGAAAAAGGCCAGGAAAGCAACGCTAATTACATTTTAACGTCTCAAATATTCTGCAATGCTGGGGTTTGTCTAATCAAGCAAGGTGAAAAGGAAGAAGCGATAGAAATGCTTTCCGAAGCTATTCGACATAATCCGAACTATTCAAAAGCCTTTTTACGCCGTGCGGGGGCCTATTTCGATCTCGATAAGTGGTCCAGCGCCTACGGCGATTACGAAAGCTACGAAAAGCTAGGAGGGATACTGGACGCGGACGGAAGGGGACGAAAGGCAGCCGCAAAAGTAAAAGTGGATGAGGAAATGTCAAAAATGTTGGGCGATTTGAAGGACTTAGGAAATCGTTTTCTCGGAAACTTTGGCTTATCTACGGATAACTTCAAGTTTGACAAGGATCCGAATACGGGTGGGTACTCGATGCGATTTGAGCGTTGATTGATCCAATAGCCAGATGATACGATACTATATCTGTATATTGTTGTTAATTTCATATTGATATAAACAATACCAACACTTACAGTAATGTGGATTAATGCTATGGAATAAAGTAGTGCACATTATTATTATTATCCTTATGACTTCCCGTTGCTTATAATTGCTAGGGGAATCATAATAATAATTCCTTTGAACCTATTATTGGGTACTATTTTTTTTTAATAACTGAACAACACCATTGAGATCTTTTTAATTAATTGCTTAAACCTTTCAATTTTCATTTCTATATATACTCACTCATTTCTTATTTACCATTTTATCCCCCCCTCCACAGAAACCAAAAGGAGCATTCAGTTTCATTGTTCTGTATTTGAACGCCGTCTCCTCTTTTTCTATCCAAAAAGAATTATACACATCACTATACCACAAATGATGCTTTCAAAGGTCCTTACGCAGCTTTTGGCTGAGTTTTTGGGCACCTTTTTTTTTATTCTTACCATTCCGCTCACCTATCATGGCGTGGGGTTGCTCTCTCCTCTGCCGATTGGGATGATGCTCTCTGCGCTTTGCTTTGCCCTACGCTATATAAGCGGAGCGCACTTTAATCCAGCTATCACATTTGCTGTTTTTATTATCCGAGAGATCTCTTCTGTACGGTTTATAGCTTATATATTAGTTCAGATTCTGGCGGGCCTTATGGCGGCCATTTATCTATCGTTAATTAGAGAACCAGCGATTTACTTGATGGAGATGAATTCAGACATTTTGATTATCTGGCGATTAGCGTTCTGGGAGTTTGTCTATGTCTTTTCCTTAACCTGCACCGTTCTTCATGCTTCGCATTCCGAGCAAAAGGTTAATGATTTTTATGGTATTTCCATTGGAATGAGCTTTATTTCCGCTGCATTTACGTCTCCTGCTCAATTCATAACTTTTCTGAATCCTGCCGGGATTATCGGGGCGACTTTACTTGACTGGTTTGAAGGTAATCCCGTAGACTTTAGATTTTTTTTTGTTTCTTTGATTGCCCCCATGGGAGGAGCTTTCACAGGATCTATTTTTTATCAAATATTAGATACCGAAAATCATGACAGAAGAAGAAGTCCAAATCATATACGAATGGTATATTAAATTCTCCAATAAAATAGGAGTGCCTTGAGATTATTCAAATCGAGGTATAATTTTTTTCAACTAAGATATAATTTCAGTACACTTGAGCATTCTTTTTTCACCACACTTTCACTTGCTGTTAGATTTCTGCCATATGTGTTTTTCAACTATTGATTTTTTTTCTTGCTAAATCAATGACAACAAAAGAGGGGAAAACATTATAAACTATAGTAGCTATTCTAAATGGACTTATAGTTCGTATCTACACTATGTTTTATCTGATCACATTTTTCCCTCCAAACAAAACTTTAAATATTATGATTATAACTTTTTTTATCAGTACGTCTCGCTTATTTTTCCAGTATCTTTAGCGTTAAAAACACGCGAGAGGTCGCAGACACTCTTGAGTACATATATATATATATGTAGATTTTTGTGTGAAAATTATTATTCATTGACAAATCTCTTTTTACTACAAGAGACAAAAGAGACCACGGAGGGAGTTTTCCCTACCGTAGAAACCCTTCCCCGAACACGGCGGTGATTTCGTGAAGGAGCAGACCCAGGGAGAGCACTTTCTTTTTACCTTTTTTTTTCATATTTATTCGGAGTGCGATGGGGAGTTCAGCTTTGGTGGGATTGGAGTTTAGTTTTACCTTGAAGGTATTTCATTTTTGGGTTTCTAATTTATTTTTTTCATTATGAACTGTGAACTTGTTTTACAACTTCGTAATATGCCGCTTTTTTTTACATAGTAATTGTATAAATAAGATATAATAAACTTCATTTTTGAGTCATTATACCACGAGGCAGTGTATTTGCCTATTTAGCACTTATCATGCTAGACGGTTTTGTGCATAACACAATGTCTAAATGGAGTATTGAATTGAGGAAAAAAAAGGGGGGGTGAACAATCCCGAAGTATGCTTCTCGTTATTGTAATGTTTTTCCTTTTTATTATTATGATTTGTTTAGTTGTTTTTTCCGCTTTAAAAATATCGTAAACCCTATTCCTATATCTATATATATCTATATATATTCCCTTTCTTTTGGATCACAAGTTGCATAAAAGACATCGAATGGGTAACCCAGTGACGGACGTGCAGGGTTAGTCAGAATTATCATACGTGGTGGCACCGTCGACGGCGGGAAGGGATTTTCATGAAGGTGAATCGATGCCGTCTTCGACGCGTCATCCTGGGCATGAGCATCGAGGACGCGAAAAGCAAATTCGACTCCCCCGACGCCCGGACCTTTTTGCGATTCGCGCAGGAGCGGCATCGCCGCGGCGTCCTCCACGAGCTCCACTTCGCTCAGCGCCTGCGCGATGGCGTCGCGTCGGAGCGGAAATGCCATATCCGGCGCTTTGCCAAACCCACCGTGCGGGGGTTCCAGGCCTACGCCAAACCCACCCCGGCGGATTACGTCGTCGTGGAGCTCTGGCGGCGGCCCGCCCTCGCGCGCGAATCGCGGGCTTTGCAAGGGATTAATGGCGATAAGGGGAGTCTTTGGGGGGGAAATGAGAAGGTCGCTCGGGAAAAAACAACCTTCCACGCGCACAAAACGCGAGTGCTCTCGACCTTGACGGACGCCTTTCGCCAGGTGAGGGAGGACGTCCTGGCGGAGTTGATCGGCCGGCGCCAGAGCGGGGCGTTGATTGCCGGCCAGCAGGAGTCCTTGGTGGATCGGCTGATCGGCGAGGTCAGCGAGGCAAGCGATAAGGGCTATAAAAGCCTCTCCTCCTCCACGCATTTGCTGGAGCCGGTAGGGATGAGCGTGGGGATTTGTGGAAAGAAGGATCGGGTGGTTTTAGACGCCTTTAATAGCAGCCAGTTGCGCTTTCCCGCGCGTGAGGGGGATATTTCTTACTCGTTGTGGGTCTCCGGGGCCCTTATCGCCGATGATGGCCTCATTTCGGAGTTCCCGTACCACGTCGCGAAGTATATCGTCTCGGAGGCCTACGACTCGAGCCCGCAGCGCCCACCTCGGGTAGAGGTGGAGGTGTACTTCTTGCCGGAGCTTTATCAACTAGAAAAGGTCGTTGGGAAGGCCGGGATCGCGGCGATTCGGCGGTTTATCGGGAAAGTTATGATGCGGCAGCATGAACCCACCCCCCTCTCCACCTCGCTTTTGCTGAATACCGCCGAGAGCGAGTTGGGCCTCTACAACCTTTACACCCCCGACAACGATGAGGTGATTCAAATCCCATGGATGCAGCAAATAAAGGCAAAGGTTTCCACCATTACGGGAATCATTCTGAACGCGGAGGAGGATACCGAGGGCGTGAAAATCGAAAAGAAAAAAGAAGGCGTTTCGCTAGTCTGGAAGGCATGGGGGCATCTTATTAAGGATCTTCACGTGCATGGGGATCGCGACTTCTTATACATCTCGATAGATCGTCAAAAGGAAAAGAAAGAAAACGATGAGCACATCATGGAGCTGAAATTACTGGAAAAGACGAATGCAAAAGAGGTGAATGAGCTGGCAAAGTCGAATGACGTCGTCACGCAGCATAAGGCGTTGTTAAAAAAAGGTTCTAGACGGGTGGAGCGGAGTAGCCAATACGTTCCGCTTCCCGCGGATTTTGTCGTTTTAGAGTGTCTTTTAGAGCGAAAAGGGCTTCCGTTTAAGATGGTGGTCGAGGATATTTCGGAATCGTTGACGGAGATGCAAACCGAAGCTCTCGATATGCTTCGCTTGTCGTTTATGAACGAGATCGAAGACCTCGAGGAGAGCTCTCTTGATTTTATTCCCGTTTTATACGCACCGAAGGTGGTGATATCGAATGCCGGGATTATCGAAGATCGAACGCACAGCTTTCAGCGAATTCGCATTCGTGGGAGCTGCCTTGCGCATGTGGAGGCTTTGGCGTCTTCCCTCGCCGAAGGGCATTGGTTTACGGATTTATCCAAAAGGGTATCCCCCCTTTTGGCGTTTTCCTCTTCCTCGACGAAGCCGCCGAACTTGTCGTTTTCGACCTCGCGCGGCCCGCACTCCGCCGCGTTGGCGACCTCGAACGCCTTGGTGGGCCATCAGCTCACGAGCGTCTCCGCCGCCATCGCGCGCGATGGCCATCGCTTCCAGCCGCATCAAACCATCCAAATGAACGATTACCTGACCATCACCAGCGAGGAAAGGGGGTTTTGGAAGGAGAATTATTACCGCCTTAGTGAGATCAAGATCGTCTTTCACAGTCGGGTGGACCCGCAGGACGCGAAGGCCGTTTCCGGCCATGCCCTCTCACCCCGACTGACCAAACACCTCCGAATCGTCAGCCGCCGGCTCTCCAACGACGCGGATGATCAACCCGAGGGCGATGAGGGCGAGGGGGCCAAATTCGGCAAGACCAGCCCGAAAAATAGCGCGAGAGCGAAGCGCAAACGCGATTCAAAGGCGCCGGATCTTTCCGAGATCCCCCCGGAGAAGGCGTTTGAGTATTTATGCACCGACACGGAGGCGGGCTCCGCGGTCTACGACCTGCGGGTGGGGGATTCCGAGGGCTACTCCTACGCGATCACCCTCACTAACATCCCCGGCGTCGACGCCGCCTCGCTCGTCAAGCCGGCGGTCCAGGCCGTCCAAAACAAGGGGTTTATCAACTATTTCGGCCCCAACCGCTTTGCCTCCTACACGATTGTGAATATGCATCCGGGGCTGCATCTTCTGAAGGATGAGTTCCGCGCCGCCGCGGGGATTATCGTCCAGCAGTTCTACCTCGACCGCGCGATCGCGGCGGAGGGGCGGCGGACGGGATGGCCCTTCTCCCGCGGATTTCCCCCTGCGCGGGCCGGGGGGTTTCGCCTGCCGGACTTCGCGAAGGGCGCCGCGCGGCAATCCGTCGGGGCGCACGGGACGATGCTCCAAAAAGTCCTCCACAACGCCCTCCAGGCCGCCCAGCTCCTCGACGGCGAGGACGGGCTCGAGGGGCTTTCTCGGGCGGATTCCTCCTCTTCAGCGTCGTCTTTCGGGGGCGCCTCCCAACGCGGGCGCGCGCGCGCGGCGGCGTCGCCGCTTCTCGACAGCGGCGATCCCTGCGCGGAGGCCTTTGTCAACCTCATCGGCCCGCGAATCTGCCGAATCCTCATCGACGAGTTTCTTTCTTTTGTGTGGAATGATATCCTCAACCAGCGGCTCCAGCGCTACGGCACCTTTGCGATTTTGCCGGGGGATTTGGTCCGAAAGCACCCCGGGGCCTCCGCACACTCGGGGCTGCCGGACGAGTTGGTGTACGCCTCGCGGAAGGATGTGGAGGGCGGGAAATATCGCGCGTGGGATGTGGTCCTGCCCATCCCGGGCGCGCAGATCCGACTCCCGGATAACCACACCGCGGATCTGTATATCGTGACCCTCAAACGCTATGGGCTCGTGTTTAACCCGGAATCCAAGCAGTGGGGGTGCTTTTATCCCAAAGGCGATCTTTCGGAGGGGGGCAGCGACGCGCTTCTTTCGCCATCGTCGGCGTTTTCGCTAAATTCGTTCACGACGGCGGGGTCGCCCTATCGTCCGCTAACCTCCTCCTCCGCCGGGTTGGAGGAGGAGCTGATTAACAGCACCGCCTTTTACGAGCCCATTTTCTCTTCGTTTGAGCGAGGAGCGGGGGGCGGAATGGAAGTCATTTCGCCTTCTTTTTCGTATTCCTCTTCGCCGGTTGACGACGAGGGCCCAATTCGGGAGGATCTTCAGTGGCAGCGGGGGAATAGCCTCGGGCTGCTGATCCCGGCGGGCTACCGCTCCCCCCTTTACCACCCCGCGAGCAGCCTGGGATGGAAATTAGTCGACGCGCAGACCGCGGACCCTTACCATCGATGGAGCTCCACCATCACGCAAACTTTTGCAAGGCCAACCACCCTGCTTTCTTCACCTGCAAATCCGATCAATTCTCATCCGCATAATAATATTAATAACAGCCATCATAGCGGTGATCGGAGTCCTAACGAGGACGATTTGATGGACTTGGAGAAGGCAAAAGGGGAATCATCGATTGCACCTTCCGCGACGATAGTGCCGTCATCGGGGGTTTCATCAAGGAAGTTATTATTTTCTTCAAATGCTCCTTCTTTTTCCTCCTCCTCCTCCTCCTCGCGGTGTAGCGTCTTATCGCTCAACCATCGCCCTTATCGTCCTCGTAGTCGTCGTTGGCCGCCCAGCTTACCGCTCCCGCAAACGCCGTATTGGTTGACCTCGCAGATCAATGCGAGATTGGAGCTTCGTTTTACATTACCTTTAGGGGTCTACCCCAGCATGCTTTTGCGGGAATTGACAAAAATGGATGTGAATTCATCAGATATCATCGATATCGATAAACCTCCCCAGGATCGTCGGGTGAGATCGTGGACGGAGCTAACGGCTGAGCAGCAGGCCACCTATCGTAAGTATTTAGCAGGGCGTCGTCAGCAGCGCTTCCGAGTTGAGCAGCCGAGGGCGTTGAGTTTAGCGCTTTTACATCAACACATTTTTCGATCTGGAGGGGTTCGAAATAGTCTTATTCCTACCCTACGCAGCTACGACTCAGTTTCTTTACCAAAGTAAGGAATTAGGAAAATGTACGAAGAATATAATACCAATATCTATAAAGACATTTATTACAATATAGAACCCTATTAAGTATTAATAGCTATCCACGGCGAATAATTAAAATGATATCTCCGGAGCTTTTGTTGATTTTATGCACCTTCAATTTAACTTACTATTATTGCAATTGTAATTCGTAAAATTGACATTGGCCTGAGTTATCTAGATGGCAAAATCATAAATTATAGATGGAGGCTTGAAGGAAAAAACAAGCCTATATAGACGATCGCTTTTCCTTCTGAAGGTGCTATTTCTCCCACATGAACGGATAAGTAATGACTACTTTTGCTACTTTATTTATTAAATAGATGTATACATATATAAATATGTCTGTGTGCCTATCGCGCTCTTAGAATGATATTCCTTAAGAATGGTAGTCATTAACCTACTGCCATCCTTTTCCCTATATCATATGCCTTTTTGATACAAGTCAATCCTGTAATTGTGTTTGTTTAACCCCTTCGATGTTATTTTTTTTTCTTCTTTTCATTATGCTTCTTTATTTTATACATCCACTCCATCAACGCATAATATATCGAGGGTTCACGTTTTCCCGACTGTGTTAGCCTGATCAAGCGTTATTATAGGTTACACAACTCCCAACCAAGCCTGATCTTTTGTTCTTCTTTTTATTATTATCGTTGTATGTCCCATCCCTTGAGCGAATTACTCCCCTCCCAAACCCGTCCCTAAGCCAATCTTATTAACGCACACCAAACGGTATCCCCTCCCCTCTCCTTTTATTAAGGAATGCAACGGGATACCTACGCGGCGCTGATCAAAAAGCGCCACATCAGCCGTCTTCCCATACGCATTCTCCAGCTCAACGGCCGCATCACGCGGGAGCTGATCTACGAAGAGGTCTTCATCGGCTATAGGAATCGCCGTCTGGTCCTGCTGAGGCTGGGGCACCCCCCCCCCTTCTTTGCTGTCACAGGCCTCTTCTCCTGGTCTTTCCCCTTCTTCTCGGTTACAGGCCTCTTCTCCTGGTCTTTCCCCTTCTTCTCGGT